ATCATAAAGGATTACTTAAGAATGAGTTCTGAGATCAAATCATAAAGGATTTCTTAAGAATGAGTTCTGAGATCAAATCATAACGGATTTCTTGAGAATGAGTTCTGAAACCAAATCATAAAGGATTTCTTAAGAATGAGTTCTGAAATCAAATCATAAAGGATTTCTTGAGAATGAGTTCTGAAATCAAATCATAAAGGATTTCTTGAGAATGAGTTCTGAGATCAAATCATAAAGGACTTCTAGAGAATGAGTTCTGAGACCAAATCATAAAGGACTTCTAGAGAATGAGTTCTGAGATCAAATCATAAAGGATTTCTTGAGAATGAGTTCTGAGATCAAATCATAAAGGACTTCTAGAGAATGAGTTCTGAGACCAAATCATAAAGGACTTCTAGAGAATGAGTTCTGAGACCAAATCATAAAGGACTTCTAGAGAATGAGTTCTGAAATCAAATCATAAAGGATTTCTTGAGAATGAGTTCTGAGATCAAATCATAAAGGATTTCTTGAGAATGAGTTCTGAGACCAAATCATAAACTGGATTTCCTGAAAATGAGGGATTAATTGAGAATTAGTTCTGAAGTCAAATCATAAAGGATTTTTGTCAGAATTACCTCTAGGTTCAAATCATAGGATTTTTTTGCAAACAAGCAATAACATCAAACCATGAGAGATTTCTTCAGAATGAGCTTTAAATTTAAGATGTTCTCCATGAGAGCACACATGACAACTTAAATCTTGTTCTTTTCTCAAAAACTAGGCAGAATGTACAGGAATGTAATGGTAAATTTTTTATCAAAATAGTCCTGTTTATAGTCTGCACTTTCCTTCAGAAGATTGGGAGAAAAATAGCCAATTTTTTGAGTAAAAACTAAAAATTGACTCAAATTTTGTCTGTTGGCTTCAAAATTAGGGTTCATTTCCAGAAAAATTGAAGAATATTAGAAAAAAGTGCAGAAAAATTTGGGTGAGAAAGTCTGCTGTTGAAAAGGTTAAACCTGTATTGACATGTTAATCAAAAAAGACCGTTGTTTATTGGCGACATACGGTTCTGTAAACAGCTTTAATGTCACGTGAGAATGTTCATAAATTTTGAGAATTTTGTAGCAGTGAATATTTAATTGGGGGGATTTAGTTAGGGATTTGCAGTGAATCTCATGAAATATAGTCTTCACAAACACACTTGACCCCTTGAGGGGCAAACCGTTTTCCCACTGAAATTGGAGTCAACTTGTTCACATTTTCTTAATTTTTTTTCTGAACTCACTTCAAATTTTAGGCCAAACAGACAAAATATCACATTGCTTATAATTTCTGAACAAAAAATTTGAAATTTTCGTCAACGTTTCATAAGGAAAAGAGCAGACTATAAATGGAAGTATTTTGTAGATGGTGTTGAAAGCTGGCACTCAAAAGGTTACAGATTATTTACATCATATAATGAAAATCGATATCAACGAAAATTAAATGATTTACAGAACTCATCAAATAGGGCCGATCGTTTGAGTGTTGAGATAAAAAAACAATCATGGAGATGATTTGAATGACCATCGTGTCCAATTGAATACGCAAAGGTTTAATTAAAAACAGCAAGCAGACATATTAAACAAGAGTTGTGGGACCGCATTGTTTTAAAGATTCTCATCGTCATTGTCGTTATAATTTCAAAGTGAATTTGATGAAGCACTTTAAGGCACAATTAAGCAAAACGAGGAAGATAGAATCAGTAAGAAAGTAAAGTGCTCTCAAGCTTACAAACAAGTAGTATCTAGGGATACTGCTGTATATTTGGATTATTACGGTGAGACTGAGTTCCCTTTTCATTACAAATGTGCATTTCACAGTGACCATTTTGTAATCTTATAGAAAACGGTAGCAG